CATATACGCCAACAACAATCTAATTGAGAACCAAATCAAAGACTCAATTCCCTTCACAATAGCAACAAAGAAATTAAAGGACCTAGGAATATACTTAACCAAGGACGTAAAAGACCTGTACACGGAGAACTATGAAAGACTGAGGAAGGAAATAGCAGAGGATGTAAACAGATGGAAATCCATACCATGCTCGTGGATCGGCAGACTCAATATCATCAAAATGTCTATACTACCCAAACTGATCTACAGATTCAATGCAATACCTATTAAAATCCCATCAGCATTCTTCACAGATATAGAAAAAATAATTTTACGCTTCGTATGGAACCAAAGAGGCCCTGAATATCAAGAGCAATTCTAGGCAACAAAAACAAAATGGGAGGCATTAATATGCCAGATATCAAACTATACTACAAAGCTGTAGTAATTAAACAAATATGGTATTGGCACAAAAAGGAATATTGACCAGTGGAACAGATGTGAGAATCCTGATATAAAACCATCCTCATATAGCCATCTAATCTTTACAAAGCACAAAAACATACGATGGGAAAAGAATCCTCTTCAATAAATGGTGCTGGGAAAACTGGATAGCCACCTGTAGAAGGCTAAAACAGGACCCACACCTTTCACCTCTCACAAAAACCAACTCACGCTGGATAACAGACTTAAACCTAAGATATGAAACTATTAGAACTCTAGAGGAAAAAGTTGGAAACACTCTTCTAGACATTGGCCTGGGCAAAGAGTTTATGAAGAAGTCCCCAAAGGCAATCACAGCAGCAACAAAAATAAATAAGTGGGACATGATCAAACTACAAAGCTTCTGCACAGCCAAAGAAATAGTCATGAATGTAAACAGACAACCTACAGAATGGGAGAAAATTTTTGCATCCTATGCATCCGACAAGGGATTGATAACTAGAATATACTTAGAACTCACAAAAATTAGAAGAAAAAATCAAATAACCCCATTAAAAAGTGGGCAAAGGACTTGAAAGAAATTTCTAAAGAAGACAGAAGAATGGCCAACAAACATATGAAGAAATGCTCAACATCTCTAATCATCAGGGAAATGCAAATCAAAACCACAATGAGATATCACTTAACCCCAGTGAGAATGGCCTTTATCAAAAAATCTCCAAACAATAAATGCTGGCGTGGTTGCGGAGAGAAGGAACACTCCTACACTGCTGGTGGGACTGCAAACTAGTTCAACCCTCTGTGAAAAGCAATATGGAGATACCTTAAAGCGATACAAGTGAATCTACCATTTGATCCAGCAATCCCATTGCTGGGCATCTACCCAAATGATCCAGTGACACTCTACAAAAAAGACACCTGCACTCGAATGTTTATAGCAGCACAATTCATAATTGCAAGGCTGTGGAAACAGCCCAAGTGCCCATCAATCCAAGAATGGATTAATAAAATGTGGTATATGTATACCATGGAGTACTATTCAGCTCTAAGAAACAATGGTGATATAGCACATCTTATATTTTCCTGGTTAGAGCTGGAACCCATACTACTAAGTGAAGTATCCAAGAATGGAAAAACAGCACCAGATATATTCTCCAGCAAACTGGTATTAACTGATAGCACCTAAGTGGACACATAGGTACTACAGTAATAGGGTATTGGGCAGGTGGGAGGGGGCAGAGGGCGGGTATATACATACATAATGAGTGAGATGTGCACCATCTGGGGATGGTCATGCTGGAGAGACTCAGACTTGTGGGGAGGGAGAATGGGCATTTATTGAAACCTTAAAATCTGTACCCCCATAATATGCCAAAATAAAAAAAAAAAAGGAACTCTTTTTACTTTTATTTAATCTAATAAACTTAAGTTTCAATAGCAGCATATGCCTAGTGGCTACCACACCAGATGGCATGCCTCTAGAATATTAGTTTAAATTTCTTCCCCTTTATTAATAAATATTTTACATAAATTACTAAAATCATTAATGAATTCTATTTTGCAAAGTTTTATTTAAAGTAATTGATTTTCATGGTTGTTATTTTTAAGAAACTTGTGGCTGAGTTTATTCTGAATCAAGTAAAATAAGCAAGAGCTGTTAAGCAAGTGAAAAAACAAAAGCTACTATTTGGTCTTGAATCTCCTTTATTTTTTTTATTTGTTAGTGCTGTTAATGCTTTTTAATGCTTTCTTTTTCCCCCAGCATATTGTGGGGGTACAAATGTTAGGGTTGCGTATATTGCTCTTGGTCCCCCAGCCCCTCGAGTCAGAGCTTCAAGCGTGCCCATCTCTCAGTTGGTGCACGTCACACTCATTATGTATGTATTACCCATCCCCTCCCCGCCACCTGCCTGACATCTGATAAATGTTACTCCTATATGTCCACTTAGGTGTTGATCATTTAATACCAATTAGCTGGTGAGTACATGTGGTGCTTGTTTTTCCATTCTTGGAATACTTCACTTGATAGAATGGGTTCCAGCTCTATCCAGGAAAATAGAAGAGGTGCTCTATCACCGTTGTTTCTTATATCTGAATAGTACTCCATGGTATAAATATACCACATTTTATTAATCCACTCATGTACTGATGGGCACTTTGGTTGTTTCCACATCTTTGGAATTGTGAATTGTGCTGCTATAAACATAGTGCAAGTGTATTTTTCATAGAGTGACTTTTGTTCTTTTGGTAGATCCCCAGTAATGGGATTGCTGGGTCAAATGGTAGATCGACTTGTATTGCTTTAAGGTATCTCCATATTGCTTTCCACAAAAGCTGAACTAGTTTGCAGTCCCACCAGCAATGTAGGAGTGTTCCTATCTTTCCACATTCACGCCAACATTTATTGTTTTGGGATTTGTTAATAAGAGCCATTCTTACTGGAGATAAGTCATATCAAATTGTGGTTTTGATTTGCACTTCTCTGATGATTAGAGATGCTGAGCATTTTTTCATGTTTGTTGGCCATTATTCTGTCTTCTTTTGGAAAGTTTCTGTTCATGTTCTTTGCCCACTTTTTGATAGGGTTGATTTTTCCTTGCTGATTTTCCTGAGTTCTAAATAGATTCTAGTTATCAGCCTTTTATCAGATGTGTAGCTTGTGAAAATTTTCTTCCATTCTGTGGGTTGTCTGTTTGCTCTCTTAACAGTTTCTTTGGCTGTCCAGAAGCTTGATCTACAGAGTCAGTGCAATCTCTATTAAAATACCATCATCATTTTTCACAGATATAGAAAAAATAAGTTTATGCTTCATATGGAACCAGAGAAGACCCTGTATAGCAAAAGCAATCCTAGGCAATGAAAACAAAATGGGAGGTATCAATTTACCAGACTTCAAACTATCCTACAAGGCTATTGTAATTAAAATGGCTTGTTACTTGAACAAGAACAGGGACATTGATCAGTGGAACAGAACAGAGAACCCAGATATAAAAGCATCCTCATGTAACCATCTAATCTTTGACAAAGCAGACAAAAACATACACTGGGGGAAAGAATCCTTATTCAATAAATGGTGCTGGAAAACTGCATAGCCACATGCAGAAGACTGAAACAGGATCCACACCTTTCACCTCTCACAAAAATCAACTCACACTGGGTAACAGACTTGAACCTTAGGTGTGAAACTATTAGAATTCTAGAGGAAAACGTTGGAAATACTCTTCTAGACATTGGCCTAGGCAAAGAATTTATGAAGAAGACCCCAAAGGCAATCACAGCAGCAACAAAAGTAAATAAATGGTCAAATTGAATCTCCTTTTAAATGGGCAGTTTCTTTTTCAATGTGTGGGGGTTTGTCTTGTGTAAAGGCTGCAGTATATGTGCTTTAAATTGAATAGACCTACTGGATAACTGTGAACAATTCACACATGGAGAACATCAAATATTATAATGTAATTGCTTATTTACTTCACGGGCCCTCTTTACTTAGAGGTGTGAGTTATTTCTCCAGAAACTTTAATTACTTGTCCTGAAATTTACCAGCATGAATTTTTCCACCTCTTTTTGAAATGAAACAAAGTAAGTGCTTACAAAAACTGACTGGAAATTTTGTTGAACATAAGGCATTTGAAATACAGTTTGATGCATTGTTCAGATACAAAGTACCATTTCCTTCATGCATCCTTAACATGTAAAAGAATACATACATCTCTCATTTCCCTGAATTAAAATACATGCAGGGCATAAATAGGGACCCACTAATTTTGGACAAAATTCCTCAAATATTTGTATCTACTACAAATCTTGGTCCCTAAGATAAATCTTCAAAGACTCATATGACTTAAGCAAAAGATTGAAAAATGTTTAAAATGACTTTTTCAGAAATAAATAAATTTGAAATTCTATAGGAACATCATAGACCTATGTATAATCATGGTACACAAAATAAAAACCTTTCTATACATGTTAATCTGATTATACATTATTTTATTTTTCTCACTTAAACAATTTAAGAATGAACTTATTTTTCCTTTGTTGGTTAAGAAATGGACAGATATACATTTTCCGCAGAATATGGACCTTTTTTACTTGAACTAAAATGACTGTTATGACAATAGTATTTTAAAATTCTACCATTCTTTGGCTCATAAGATCTGTCTATACACTTTCAGCTATTTGAACTTGTATTTTTAGAAAGTTGGTAAAATTTGTCTATATTTTTGTTTTGTCAGCATCTTTGTGTGTATGTGTGTGTATGCATTATATTTTAGTACATTGGGTCATAAAATTTAGCCAATTATCCTCCTTGTTAGCAATAGTAGCTGAAAAGCTGAAAGTACCTTCAATTGATTGTTCTCAGCTCTCTTCACCCTTCACCCTGCTCATAATTAAATTAGGAAAAAGGAAATTCAGCCATTCTGAAAGAGAAATATCTATAAGAACTATTATAATTCCTAAATGGTCTCCAGAAATCCTGGAGAATATAGAAAGTACTAATGTTTCTAGGAAATCAACCATTTCAACTCCATGTCTATCCTGACTCATGCTGTGATGCTTTTCCATGTGTCTATCAACAGTGGTAAACAAGCCACCGCTTTGCTCGTATGAAATGCGAATATGAAGCCTGTTACCCTGTGAAAATAGACATCAGCTGTATATTAGGACACTAAAAGAGAAGCTTGGGCAGAGATCATATACCTGGATTAGTGGTTCTGAGTGTGATCCAAAAACATCATCTAAGAACTTGAAATAAATAGAAATACTCAAGCCTTATTCCAACATGCTGAATGAGAAACTCAGGGACTGCTACCTGGCAATCCAAGTCATCGTGATGCACGGTAATGTTGAAAAACCACTGCTCTGTACCACTGTGACTAAATATAAATTAGTGTGACTACAGTGTCTGGTGTGTGTGTGTGTGTGTGTGTGTGTGTGTGTGTGTGTGTGTGTAGAATTCAAAGATGAATTTCCATCAAATGTGTTAGCTTTTAACTAATTACAAGTAGAATTATATTTTAATAACCAAAAGCTCCCTTTCTCCCTCTGTTTTTTTCAGTCAAACCTGATTTATAGTACCACCATTTAAAATTCCCAGTGCTTCAATTTTTTGAACCTCAGTTTTCTCATCTGCAATACAAATAACTAAACTTTAGGGTTTTGGTGTATGTTAAATAAGAAAATACATATAAAATACTCAGTACTGAGCCTATGAGTATTGTAATTATGCTAATCACTTTTTCCTATAAGTTACTATAACCAGTGAAATTCTTATATTGGAATCAATTAATTACCTTATTGTCGGTTTGCTTAATATAGATGAAAACTTGCTCCCTTATAAACTGTAATGTTGAAGATGGCACTTTTGTGCTTTATACCACTTTGAACATTTGTATTGCTACCTAAAATTGTTTTCATGTCTTCTGAGTGTTCAAAATAGATTAGTTGAGGAAATTAAAGCTCTATTGTTAGAAAAATGCAATATCTAATTAAAATTCTTATAACCACATAGCTACAAGGACAGTGCAAGTGGCCTGGTGTTTGTTGAAGATATGTACATTTTAAAACTTCAAAACAAATCATATGGCACACAAATATATTACAATATTATTTTATGTAAAACTTATGAACAAACATATTGACTCATTCATCCATTCAGCTCACTGAACTTGAGCTCTTTTCAGAATGCCAGGTGCTTTGTTATGCTTTCCTCCTATCTCCACTCCTCTTTTTTTCTCCCCTCTCTTCTTCTCCCCTTTTCTTTGTCCATTAAATCAGTATCAGGTATGTATTGCTTTTAATCTGTGCATTTTCCCAGTACTTACTGTTGTTGAAAATAGGAGAACAGGCAACTCTTGATTGTAAAGTTAGTTTCTAATTTGGCAATGAGATTATGAAAAGCCTTAACATCTAGGTTAACTTTACCCAATTTATGTCCTAAAATACTAGTATTATTTTAATTCAAAGCCAAAGGAAAAATAGTAGAAAATTCATACTGGTATGGAAAAAATAGATAAGTCATTCCATCATTGATAAAGAATATAATTACTGGAAATAATCACTATTTTCCAAATGTATTTTGTCATAGTACTTGTTATAAAATCAAAATAATTTGAAAAAAATTGACATTTAATGATGAGAGATTAGGTAAAAAGAAAAGAAACATTTTGCTTAATAGAAGAACATAAATCCATCAAAATATTATTAATATACAGTTATTTAGAATAACTTTCAATAAACTGAGAAATAAATAAAAGGTACAAATTTGGATGACATGATTCCATTTTCGTGCATATATTAAAGGAGAGGGAGGAGAAATGTGTCAGATCATAAAAATGGCTGTAAATTCTCTCTTTTCTTTGCAAGGTCAGGCACTGTGGCTCACTCCTGTAATCCCTGAACTTTGGGAGGCAGAGATGAGAAGATCGCATGAGGCCAGTAGTTTGAGACCAGCCTAGGCAACATAGTGAGGCCTCGACTCTATAAAAAAATAAATGAATAAAATATCTATATACATATAGATATAGATATAGATATCAAGTGTCCTTGACCTTGGGTAGTCCCTGCTCACACTGACTCTGAGCTTAGATATGTTTTTTACTTCAGCCAACGGGAAATAAGCAAGTATGCTTATTTGAAAATGCTTTGAAAAGCTGAAAATGCTTGTTTATTGACGCTTGCCTTCTTTTCCTGCTCTTGGAACCTGTGAACACCACGCGCCAGTGCTGAAGGGTGAGAAATCGTATGACATAGAACCGCAGATGCCCACTGGTAGTCTCACAGTAATCAGGCATAAGAATGAGGCGACCCTAGGTCATCTGTCTACCACAAGACTCACCGCTTGACCATGGTCCTGCGTGAAAAGCCTGAAGAGCAGCCTAAAATAAGCAACGGCCCAAATCATCCCAAACCAAATGAAAAACCAGCTGACAATGTTCTGACGTTCTTTTAAATGACTAAGACTGGAGTTATTTCTTGTGCAGTAAAGTTAACAGATAAACGAATAATTTGGAAGGATTGATCACATTTAAATATTTGGAATATAAAAAAGCTATTGTTTATCATGTTCTTTGCACTTCCATCATTTTAACTAAAAGGAAAACATGTTATTTAAACATAAAATATGGCTATATATTCAACTCTTGTAATGTTTTCTAAAGTTTTTCTTATTTAAAAACACCAAGTTGTATTTTAAAATGGAAAGCATATCTCCAGTTCAGAAATCATCAAAGTGGTTTAAATACAGTTACTTGAGCTTTAGATCAAATGCACCCTTCTGAATCTCTCCCTCATAAGTGTATGTAGAACCTAAACATTGTTGTGGACATTTGTCTTTTGGAGGAAATAGTTCTTGTTTCATGTCAGGATTTCCTTAGGGAAATGGACACATTGATGTGTCCATCACCCAAATAGTTTTTCATTGTACCAGTTAGGTAGATTTTCACCTGTCTCCTACTACCCGCTTCCTCCCTGCTTGATTTCTGCTGAGTTTTACTTCCCTGTGTGCACATATGTGATAAACAGTTTGTTCCAATTTTATAGTGTGTACATGTGATGTTTGTCTATTCTTTAGAAGATTCTATTCTTTAGGATATGATCTCCAGTTCTATATGTCTATGTCTATATGTCTATTCTTAGGATATGATCTCCAGTTCTATATGTCTATGTCTATATGTCTATTCTTAGGATATGATCTCCAGTTCTATCCAAATTGTTGCAAAAGGCATTAATTCATCCTTTTATGGCTGAGTAGAACTCCACAGTACACATATGCCACATTTTGTTAATCCATTCATGAATTGAAGGACACTGGCTTTATTCCACATCTTTGCAATTGTGAATTGTGCTTCAATAAATATTCAAATTAAGGTGTCTTTTGATACAATTCCTTATCCCTTGGGTAGAAACCAGTAGTGGGATTGCTGAATCAAATGGTAGGTCGACTTTTAGTTCTTTGAGGAATCTCCATACTGTTTTCCATAGAGGTTGTGCTAATTTGCAGTCCCACCAACAGTGTATAAATGTTCTTTTCTATCTGCTTCCATGCCAGCATCTATTGTTTGTGGACTTTTTAATAAAAGCCATTATAACAGGGGTAAGTGCTATCTCATTGTGGTTTTGATTTGCATTTCCCTGATGATTAGTAACATTGACCATTTTTTCATATGTTTATTGGATGTTTGTCTATCTTCTTTTAAAAGCTTCTGATCAGGCCGGGCGCGGTGGCTCACGCCTGTAATCCTAGCACTCTGGGAGGCCGAGGCGGGCGGATTGCTCGAGGTTGGGAGTTCGAAACCATCCTGAGCGAAACCCTTAAATAGAAAGAAATTAATTGACCAAACCAACTAAAAATATATATACAAAAAATTAGCCGGGCATGGTGGTGCATGCCTGTAGTCCCAGCTACTTGGGAGGCTGAGGCAGGAGGATCGCTTGAGCCCAGGAGTTTGAGGTTGCTGTGAGCCAGGCTGACGCCACGGCACTCACTCTAGCCTGGGCAACAAAAGTGAGACTCTGTCTCAAAAAAAAAAAAAAAGCTTCTGATCATGTCTTTTGTCCACTTTTTAATGGGGTTGTTTGTTTGTTTTTATCTTGCTGATTTCCTTGAGTTCTTTGTAGATTCCGGTTATTAGCCTATCATCAGATATATAGCTCGTAATTGTTTTCTCTCACTCTTTAGGTTGTCTGTTTGCTCTGCTGATTATTTCTTCAGCTGTGCAGAAGCTTTTTAATGAATATTATATTTTGATTTAAAAATAAAATGTTTTAATTTTTATTTTTTATTTTATTTTATTTTATTTTTTGGAGACAGAGTCTCACTCTGTTGCCTGGGCTAGAATGCCATGGCGTCAGCCTAGCTCACAGCAATCTCAGACTCCTGGGCTCAAGCAATCCTCCTGCCTCAGCCTCCCGAGTAGCTGGGACTACAGGCATGCACCACCATGCCTGGTTAATTTTTTCTATATATTTTTAGTTGTCCAGATAATTTTTTTCTATTTTTATTATAGATGGGGTCTCTCTCTTGCTCAGGCTGGTATCAAACTCCTGACCTTGACAAGCAATTCTTCTGCCTTGGCCTCCCAGAGTGCTAGGATTACAGGCATGAGCCACCGCATCCAGCCTGTTTTAAAATAATCATATTTTTAAATATCTCTAATTTAGCTTTGTATCTAATATTAAAATCTCAATTTTTTATTTAATCATTTCTATGATAGCATATGTGCTTGCCTATTTTTGTTTTTCTTAGAGTTTTTTAAATCATTACATCAAGGTGTAATAATTTTTTCAGTGATTCTGGAGAATTTTCTTTCGTTTATATTAATGCTTTCCAACATCAACTAGTAAACTTCATTTCCATATGTGGGTAAACTAGGATTTATATATTTTAATTTCATTTTAATCTGTAGAAGCCACACTTCTTCAAAGCATTTTTATTTTAGAATAGAAATTTTAATAATGGACATAATACTATTGCATCTATATGTTCATTTTTATTCTGGAAAGGGTACATTTGAAATTGGCAAATTATAAAACATAAAGTTAACTTAAAAATGTCATAGTTTGGAAACATCTGGTGGCAAGAGATAACACAATTTTCTATCTCTAGCAACTTTAAATTCTAAAAGTAAATCTGTCACTTATAGTAAGCCCATTAAAATTGAATTTGAAATTTTTTTCTATGCATGTGTATTTAATTTACAAAGAGTACCATAGAAATTATTTTTAGGCCAGTTACAGAATACAAAATTACTAATATGAAAAACAAAAAAAGTAGTTTTACATCTTTGTATTTTTTAATATGTGTTAGTAAAGATTTCATGCCTATAATAGAATATATGAATATTACATGGAAAGTATATAGAATGACTAAACAAATACACGTGTACCTATTATCCAAATTAACAACAGAACATTTTAGGCCAGGTGCGGTAGCTCACAGCTGTATTCCTAGCACTCCGTGGGCCAAGGTGGGTAGATTGCTCAAGGTCAGGAGTTTGAAACCAGCCTGAGCAAGAGCAAGACCTGTTTCTACTATAAATAGAAAGAAATTAATTGGCCAACTAATATACACAGAAAAACTTAGCCGGGCATGGTGGCGCATGCCTGTAGCCCCAGCTACTCGGGAGGCTGAGGCAGGAGGATCTCTTGAGCCCAGGAGATTGAGGTTGCTGTGAGCTAGGCTGACGCCACGGCACTCCAGCTGGGGCAACAGAGTAAGACTTTTCCTAAAAAAAAAAAAAAAAAAAAAAAAAAGAACATTTTAAAGTCCACTGAATGGCCTGTGTATCCTTAACATATGATTTTTCTTTTAAATCGACTTTATGTTTAGGGAAGCTTTAGGTTCACAACAAGGCTGAGCAGAAGTTCAGAGCTTGCACAGAGCCCCGCCCACACGCACAGAGCCCCGCCCACACGCACAGAGCCCCGCCCACACGCACAGAGCCCCGCCCACCCCGTCGCAGCCGCGTGTGTGCGGCTCAGTGAACTTAGTGTGAGACGTCACTCTCGCCCAGTCTGTGGTTTATATTGTTAGGATACGATCTTGGTTTTTCATATTTTATGGGTTTTGGCAAAGGTTAGTGATATGTATCTATTAATACCATTACAATATTATACAGAATAATTTCACTGGCCTAAGTATCCTCTGTTCTCTGCATATTTGTCCCTGCATCCCCCTCAACCTTTGGCAACCATTCATATTTTTACTGTCTCCATAGTTTTGCCATTTCTAGAATGTTATTTAGTTGGAATAATGCAGCATTTAGTCTATTTAGATTGGCTTCTTTAAATTCTTTAAATTCCCTCAATGTCTTTTCAAGACTTGATGGCTCATTTCTTTATAGTTCTGAATAATATTTCACTGTCTGGATATACACCAGTTTATTTATCCATTCGCCTACTGAAGGACATTTTGGTTGCTTCCATGTTTGGGAAATTATGAATAAAGGTTCTGAAAACATCTGTATGCAAGTTTTTTGTGGTCATAATTTCAACTCACTTGCATAAATACCAAAAAATGAGATTGCTGGATGATAAGGTAAGAGTATGTTTAGTTTTGTAAGAAACTGCTAAGATGTTTTCCAAAGTGACAGGACCAATTTGCATACCTGCCAACAATAAGTGAGAATTCCTCTTACTTCACTTCCATCATCTGTTCCAGTATTTGGTGTTGTCACTCTTCTGGACTTTGGCTATTCTAATAAATGTAAGGTGATATTTCACTGTCACTTTAATTTGTATTTTCTTTTTTTTTTTTTAATTTTTTTTTTTTTTTTTTTTTTGTACCAGAAGCAGCAAACAGATAATTTGTATTTTCTAATGACATATGATGTTGAGTATCTTCACATGCTTATTTTTCATGGCGGTATCTTCTTTGGTACCTAATGGTTTTAAAACTCTGTTTGAAAATTAACAAAATGGGAATGTATCCCTTTCTTATATGAAAATAAAAGGTTTACCAAGTAGAAACGTGTGAATATTGTAAATAAACATCTGTTTTTACAAATATACTGATATGGTCTATCATATAACAATAGATTCTTGGAATTGTTTGGAAAACAAAGCTGAAATTTCTTTGAGAGACTTATAAAACAAATTTCTGTTATTAAATGATTGTTTCTCAGTGGAGAAAACTTCTTGACTAAATATGAATATTCACTTTAGCATCCAGATTTGCTTTGTATAACTGAGGAAAAAATGTGTTATTTAAATTCAAACCTGTGAATTTCAGACATTGAATACACACAATTTTGTAAAACACAAATCTAAAAATTATGTTATCCTGAGTTTTTTAGTGGTAAAGTATATAGCTTTGATATAATGATGAATATAAAAAAACTCTACATTCCAAATATATTTTCTTCATTTTCTTTAATACTTTAGAAGTCACCTCCCCCAGATAAGCTGTCCTTTAACACATATCTAAAATAGCAAAATTAACATCTACCCACACTTTATCCTCTTATTCTTCCATTTATCTTCAGAGGAATTTTAGACACTTACACACTTTAACAATTTACACACACACACACTCATAGTCACACAACTAGACAAAAGAGTTCTTATAACTCAAATTATATTAACTTTTCTTAGATTATAGTTTTACGTATAGGGTTTTGGGGCAAAATTATAGCTATAAACTATGATAGTGTTCATCTAGGAAGATCAGCCACCAACTCTACCAGATTCAATCCTCTCTCTTTTAACATGTATTTATAAAGGCACTCCTTATTAAGTGTAATAAACTTCAGAAATGGTATAGCCTGCCCTTATAATTTTAAAAACATAAAGTCAACTGTAGTTTAAAAAGGGAAAGATATTTTTAATTAAATAGTTTGCTTATCAGCTTGTAAAAGATTGGCCATATTTGCCCTAGTAGGTGTAGCAAAGTCAGATACTTATTCCTGATAAAGTTCTGCTGTGTTGGTGGCTCAAATACCATAAGGAGTATTTGAAACAACTGTTATTTTCTTATTATTTTTATAGTGAAAAACTCTTAACAAAATTCTGGACAAACAAATGTATAGGTTTTTTTCCTGAACTTATGTGGCAGTT